AGGTAGGTGCATTATTACAGTATGTCTCTGCGTGTGCGCGTATGTGCGCGTGTATATGTATATACATACAGTTATGTGGGTATACATATGTACCGTGCGTGTATATATATATATATGTATGTACGTGAATTTGTACATATGTGCCTTGTTGAATTGTTCTCTGTCCCTCTTTTGAAGGGCTGGGCTTCGAACTTAGAGAGTCTAGCTTCGTCCAAAAAGTTGGGTGTCCGAGTGAGGTTGCGCAAAAGCCTCGCTATGCATGCCCCGTCTAGAAGCCACATCGTGCTTGAAATACTCGTATGGATTCACATCGCCTCAAGCATCAACACCTACTAAGCGCAAGAGCAGACTTTGCTGTTGGAGAGTACCTTTCCATCCTTTACAACCTACATATGGGAGTTTCCGAATATTAGGGGTAACTGGCTTGGGGTTCCTTATAATAAGGATTACTATATTAGGGTCCCCTCCTTTACAACCTACATATCATCGTGCCCCAGAATCTTGGGAAACATGCTGAAAATGAAAATGAGTGGTTGTCAAAATTAGGGTCCCTTTTTGGGTCCTTGTTATAATACGGCACACTACTATTTAGGGTACCCCAAAAGGGGCCATCATTTTGACAACTACCCAAATCGGATTTCACATGTTCGGCTCTTAAGCTCTGGCCAAAGCAAGCTACAGGGAACTCCAGAAAGTTGGAATATGGTTCCAGGATAGGATACCCTATAATTTACCATAAAGGGTTTAGGATAATCATATTCCAACTTTCTGGCTTTTACTTTAAGTCCGATCCATGCCTGCCACCTGGAGTCGGGCTGCTTCCTGCGATGGCTTCAGAGTGTGTGGGGCGGGTGGGGTTCAGGTTGTCGTCGGAATATCCACAGACTCGACGCGGTTTGCAAAAAAAATCTTGCAGAAATTCGGCACAAAGAAAAACAAGCCTAAACTCCAAACTTTCACTCTATAGTGGAAATTCGGTACGAGGGGAATGTTAAATCTTAGTTTTCCCACCGCTGCAGAAAGTTCGGAACGAAGAGTTCTAAACCCCGAAACTCCAAACCCTGAACCCTATTATAAAACCTAAACCGTGGCCGCAAACCCTTCAGCCTACGCCGCTGTCGGAGATGCGGTCCGAAGAGTCCTAGCCTAAAGTCGTAATCTCAAAACCCTAAACCCAAAGCCCCAAACTTTGGAAGCCCTTGCAGACAAGAACCCCAGAGTCCGAAGCCCTGAACCATTAACCCCTTAATTAAAGCCCTAAACCCATAAAGCCCTTAACCCAAAAACTAAATGCCCCTGCGAGAAGTTCGGTCCGAGGAATCGAGGCCGCTGTACTGCTCGGTTTCAACGCGGATGCCGACCAGGAACCGCGGCTCCCTGGAGGCAAATTGGGTTTAGCGCCTACCTGGACCCTAAGGAACCTACCTTTTTAGGGTTCCCTAATATGATTTCTTTATATAAGTCCTTCAAAAGGTAGGTTACGTGGGGTTAGAGTATAGTTTAGTCGGGATATCTGCTTTTGGGCTTTGTCTGGGTTGTTGGATTTGGGGGCTACGGTTGTTAAGCGTTTAATTTGCATGGTTCTGGTTTGCATTGCTTTTTGGGTATAGGGTTTAGGGATTCTTTCTGGTAAGACCCCTATAGTAGATGTTCCTTAATGAACCCCCTGAACCCTAAACCCTGAGCCCTAAACGCTGAACCCAAGCCCTAATCCGTAAGCCCGAGTTGTGGGCATTTAGGGGAGTAGGATTCAAGGATTCCGTCGCAAGGTCGCAGGGGGTTTGGGGTTTAAGGATTTCGGTTTAGGATTTTGGAGGTTAGGCACAGGATTGTGGGGATGATTAAGTGTAGGGCTTTGTGTTTTGGGATGGCAACTGCAAGTGTGAACACTCAGGGCCGCAACGATCACTCCCCTAATGGCTTCACTCCCAAAACCAAAGCAGGACAGACAAGGAAACAAGAATTGACGACGACAGAAAGGACGAAAACATCGACAGCCCCCAAACCGACTATGGTGAGCCTTGAGCCTATACCGAAATCCCTGAACGCCCAAATGCAATCCTGAACCGGAAACTCGAAACCCCGAGTACCCTTAACGCCCCACCGAAGCCAAAGAAGCAACGAAGCTGGACAATGACAATCTCCTGGGTTGTGCTTTAAACCCCTTGAAAATTATCTATGAATAGGTTTCCTTTTATAAGAGCATAAGGGAAATTAAACAATTATCCCAAAGCACAACCCAATCTCTGAACTTCTGATCCACAAACCTGGTCCGATCGAACAGGAAAATCTCCGAACAAACTTAACAAATCCTATAAAACCCTAAACCCTGCCTATGGTTTCTATTATATATAGTACCTCAAAAAGGTAGGTCTTTTCGGCTACAGGTAAACCCTAAACCCTCAACCTTCCTCAGCTTCAACCCCGAAGCCCCCAAACCTCTAATCGCGAGCCCCTGAACCCTTTCCCCGGGGGCCTCCTCTCACCGGTATCCACTACCAGGAGATGAACCTGCTTTGGGGTTGAGGGTTCTGTAGGTTTACCTTAACCCTGAATAACCTTCCTGTTTAGGGTTCCTTCTTATGGTTTCCTTATATACGTCCTTTATATACGTTATTCCGGGTTCAGGTAATGATTTAAGGTGTAGCTTAAAGCCCGGGGGGCCATTTTAGACGGGCCCCATAGCAGCTTCTTAAGGAGGTCTGGGCTTCTCAGTTTGAAAGACGGGTGTTAATTTCAGGCTATGTGACTCACATCTGAGTCATGCCCCATCTCAACACCAAAAGCTCTTAACCCTACCACAACCGAAATCCTAAACTCCACACCGTAAACACGAAGGGCTGCCGAAGGTCACATGCAGCTTGCCCGAAGCTGCTAGGTCGCTTGTCTTCCGGTAACGTAATGTGGTAGGGGCCTAAACAGTTCGAATAGGGTTTGGGGGTACGATAAATCAAGAAACCCCCAAAACCCTGTACTAATTTTTCACGCGCCTACATTATGAAACTTTCGTGTTGGAGTGGCCATAGAAGATTTTAACATCTAATCAACACCTACACCCTGACCCGTTCTTCCTGAATCGAAGACCCCGACAGCCTAACCTCTACGCCCAAAGCATCTCTTAGCCCTAAACCCTAAACCCTCAACCCGGAGGCCCGAACCCTAAACCCTAAATCCCTAAACTCAACCCGGAGGCCCGAACCCCAAAAGTTAAGCATGTAATACTGCATTAGGAGTCACAGGAAGGACCGTAGCAATAACCGGTATGAGCCTTGCAACCCGTGAAAACACCCCTCAAGACCCTGACCGCCAAAAAAAGGGACCACATGTGCCTCGCAGGTAATCTGGTTCTTCTGGATGGTGGCCGGCAGACAGAGGGGAACGCCGGTCTGAGGCAGGGTTTTTCTGTTCTGGGGCACTCGGAGGTTCATTGGTAATTATAGGTAGGGTTATAAGTCCCCTAACAGGAGTTACAAGTATAGTTACCCTACTTATACCCCCACTTCTTACTACCCATGAACCTCCAAGCAGGGCATCCTCTGGGAGCTCGGAGGGAGGGCTGAATACGAGGGCCTCACTGGGGCCGCCATCATCAGAATAGGGTGTTGGGCTCCCCTATGCGTATAATAAGGAAGCCCCAAAGAATTAGTAATTAGTAGGGTTAACGGTTTGTGGGTTTCGGGACCAACTCTAGTCGTTTCATGTGCCGGGGGTGCGTGCTAAGCTGTCGTGTGTTATTCCTGACCTTGTACTCGCGCCTCTTGCGCCCTTTGAATGATATCGCTGCACAAACCTGCTTCTGAGCACAACTATGACCTTTTGCGGTGTAGGCGCATGAACAGTAGAATGAATCTAGATGCAAATCTACTGCGCTTTGCTTCCAGTACTCTCTGCACGTACAGGGGTAAGATGGGCGTTTCCGAAGGGAACCCTAATGTAGTACACTAAATAGTAGGATCCTTATTGCAAGGACCCCGACATTAGGTACCCCTAACTTCCGGAAACTCCCAGATCAGTGCCATGGACCCCAGTATTACATGTCGCGGACAGTATGGTCGATTTCCGATATACACTGCACCACATGTCCATAATGAAATAGGCGCCAAAACGGCACCCCCACGCCCCCGTACATAGGATATCCTAAAACTGTAGCCCATAGCCCATAGCCATGTCTGGCAGCTGTTGATTCAAACTCCAGATCACAAACAAACACTCCCAAAACCTAGTGGCCCCAGCCTCCCTAAACCTTACGAGCCCTAAACCCTACAGTATAACCGTATACCCTACAAACCCTAAACCCTATAAACCCTAAACCCTACAAACTCTATAAACCCTAAACTCTCTAAACCCTACAAACCCTAAACCCTACAAACCCTATAAACCCTATAAGCCCTAAGCCCTACAAGCCCCTTAACCCAAGCCATCCTAAGCCCTATATGGACTCCCGAAAAGCCCACAAATCCTGAGCTCTGAACGAACTCAGCCCTGGTCTCCTGTACTTGACGGAGAAGGGCCCCCAGACTTCATGTAATGTAGGGTTTGGCTTTTTCTAAGGCCAAGATTGTTGCGCACACGAATCAATCGGCTTTTAGACTCCGGCTCGGGCCACGTTATGGGCACTGGAGGAGGAGCCCGTCAGCAGCAGCCATGCGTCATTCAGTAGAAGGACTTCCTGGATTCGGCACACTCACGCACGAAGTCATCATCGCGCGTGGAGACAGGCAGTCCTTCTCAGAGACTTCAGCGTGTCAGTGGCCCGAATTTTGTACGTCGACAGGGGCTCAACCCCACTCGCAAGCACGCGTCTTTTACAACTCTGCACGTAATATGAGGCCCGCACATGCTTCAAGTCCTGCTTGCGTCCGGCCCACTTCTCCACGGCCATCTGGGACTTGGCCAGCTCGAAATAGGCCAGCTCTTCGAGCATGCTGTGGGCACCAGCCATGTAGCAGAAACCGAGGCAGGGCACGTTAAGTTCAAACGCAGTGCAACGCAAGCAGCGATCAGCCGCAGCCAGCCTCTAGGCGGGGTCCCTGCAAGATGTCGAGCACGTGCTCAGCTGCCTCTGGCCCCAAGACAATCCGTGGTCCGCGGAACCAGACCATGCCAAGGGTGATGCCGCGGCAGAACTTTTCCTTGGTAAAACGAGAATGGCCGCGCGCTGCTAACAGGCGAAACACGATTTCTCGTGACGTCATCTCCAGCCCAGCTGCGCAAGCAGCTTCGGCCTGCTCCACATCCTTGATGATGTCCCCGACCGCGAAGTTGTGGAACATCTGCTCAACCTAAGCACGACGCTAACGCTGTGCACAACGTCCAAAACCCGAGCTCGAACACGCGCCTCCAAAACCTCCAAGCTTAGGTTCCAAGCTTAGGTTGGAACGGCGAGGACGGCAGCCACTTGCTGGTTTTTTGGGACCACGAGTTTCTTTGCCATGTACTCGGCGTGCGAAATGAAGTTCTTGCAACGATACTTCTTGTGCGCGTCCATCACCTTATATACAGTGCTAGACTCGCAATTAAATCAAACAAGTGCCAAGCGCTTATCAGACCCAGCCGCAGCATGCGCAAAGGTAGTGAAGATCAAGGTCGTCGCGTCTGGTTTCCAGCGCTATGGCTGTGGCTCTGCCACTCATGTTAGCCTGAGCGCTGCTTCAGCACTTTGACCCACAACACCGGACCTCAACAAACAAAACACAACGAACAAGACGCCGGAAGTCACTGTCACGTCTACCCAACAAGCACAAACCAATGAGAACTTGCGACCAAGCGGCGACTATCCCCTTCGCACTCTTGGTCATTTGTTGCGCGCAAAAGTTCACGAAGCTCGCGCCTTAGCTTGTGAACAGCACCAGCAAGGCACACAGGGCATTCCCGCGGGATAGCAAGGACAATCCCACGCGAAAGGCCCTCCTATCCTTATCCGGCCGTCTATACTCTACACATGGGCCCCGGGTTAGTGCAAAATCTTCAATGCGGAGCAAAGATGCTGACGACGCAGCGCCCGGCACTCGTCTCCCACCATGCAGGGCGGACAATGCGCCCGTCGACAGTGCCTGCAAGCAGAGACAAGCTGCACATGCATCAGTCCTCCCAGTCGTAGGCGTTGACATACGGCTGCGTGAGTTCGAGAAACTCGATGAGCTCTTGCAGCTGACACAGCTCATCGTCGTCGCCATCCAAATCTCCTCAGAAAAATTTTGAGCGCCGGCAACAAACAACGTTTCTGGTTCAACCGCACCAAGACGTCAACAAAATAAAGCACACCAACACTACTGCCTCAAGTCAAGCAAGACACCGGTAGCCATGTCCGTGTTGAGCTTCCCCTCCTTGCTCAGAAGAATTGAGTTGCGTGGGAAGGGGGTTGTGTAGTCGTAGTCCTCAGGCAGCTCCCCGGCCTCACAGACACACAAGAAGGCGCGATGTTTCGGAACACAAACACAGACTGTAGGGCACAGCCACAGAAGTAGTTCTCTCAAGTCCAGCCTCGAGGACGCACATGTCCCGAGGGCTGTGGCAGGGATAGCGCCAAAACTGCGCCAAACCTTCTGAGGCAAAAGAGACCCCAGCAGACTGCCGGATGGTATTGTCTTATCTTCGTGACAAGCAAACAGACAAGACAAGTGGTGCCGCCACGGCGCTGCTATTTTGCCAGTGATGAACGTTTCGCCGACTGCCACAATACATTGGTGAGCAAGAGGTCGAAGTCGAAGGCGCCGGCTGATTCAAGAATCTCCTCGGCAGCCTCCTCGGCTGGCTCCGCGGCGATTTCAAGTGGATTCTCAAGATGTTCGGCCGCCTCCTCAAATCGGGCCCGCTTAGCCTGTCGAAGAAGAGGGTTACCAGATGTAACCGTCACTCTTGTCCCAATAGGGATAAAAGGTTCCAGACCGGGTGCCGACGAAGGTGGAATGCCTCTGGGTCTAGGGGGCGTGGGAGGACGTAACCTACCACCCGGAAGAGTCCCTCTACCGGAAGTTACACCCCTTACCGAATCCGAATCACCACCCAAGGCACGACGTGCAGGAGGTGGAAACGGCGGCTCGCGAGGCGGGCCAACACCAAGAACGCTAGATGGCGATTCCGCAGCAGTAGCGCTCACGGGTACAGCCCCGGAGATTGTATTGGAGGATGTATTGTCAGGGCCCGGAGTGATTGGCGTCGATTCGGTATGCCGGGGGAAAAGTGGAACCTCCGAAGCCAAAAAGGACGGAAGAGCAGCGCCACGCTCTGGCGTGTTCTGCTGCAACCAAGAGACGTAGCTGTCTGCAGTCCCAAGGTTCTCCCTATCCGCCTCACTCAACACAGCAAGCTCGCGCAGCTGTGAAGAATATCCTCCAATGATCTTGAGGTGGAGTGAGCGCCTGGCTCTTCCACTAGAGCCGCTCCCTCTCACTCTCGACGCATTTGCATCCCTAAGATTGCAGCACTGGCATCCACAGGCATACACTGAAGCAGATCTCTGTAGGATTTAGGGTTTCGGGTTTAGACTTCATGTGTTGTAGGGCTTATAATTAGGGTTTAGGGCTTTGACTTCATGTAATGTAGGGTTTAGGGTTTAGACTTCATGTAATGTAGGGGCCTTAATGATTCGAACAGGGCTGGGGGGTATGTAAAACTACAACCATAGCCATAGCAAGGCCCCTAGGTTGGGGGTGGTCGGAGGAATTACTGACAGTATCCCTTTTTACTCTATCACTATAATAGTAGACACTTTTTCACATCTCCACTCGATACAGGCACCTTTCTCATGTACCCCCGTGCCCCCTACACAGCCAAATCTTGCCACGTCCCGAAATTGAACCCTAACCTTCCACCCTTCTCGGGTTTAGGATAACAATCAAACATCCTACCCGTCCTCAGTCCGAGCTAAAACCCACACCAATCCCTGATGGGTTTCAGAATGGGAGGTATGGTATGACGACTTTTATTTTTCAGGCTTCTATGCCAACCCTGAACTTGAAACGCTGAGCCGTCGACCCCCCGCCCCTTCTCAAAAAACAAGAACCCTTAACGCGCATCCCCTCAGCCCTGATCCCCCCCAAGCCCTACCTGCAGTTACAACAGTGCGCTTCATTCAAAGGTAGAGCCCTTGAAACTATACAAGTACATATTCATATATATATATATATATGTATACGTATGTGTGTGTATATATAATTATAGCATAGGGGCGTTCATAAGTAGAATAGGGCTTGGGGGGTATACTCTACTACATTTATCTGGATGCTAGAAATATGGTGAAGAACCCTACCGAATAATATTCGCATTTATTTGGGCTTCTACGGCTTCTACAGTTTTGATTGGGGCCACAGGGTCAACGCAGAATCCTCTGGGGCCTTGCTCGCTGTGAGCATTTGCCGGAAGCGACCCCTGGCGGCAGCTTCGGTGGATCTACAGTAACTTGGGACTGTACTATTGCGGTTCTCACTGGCCCAGAAGCCAAGGAAATAAAAGTTGAAACTTTCAGAATCGACTGACTTATAAGAGCCCCAAAAGTTGAAAAGTTGAGTTTACAGCCAGCACGGGTTGAGGGTGTAGACTTTAGCGCTTAAAGTCATACTTTGGAGGGATTCTGTGGTCAGAGGTCTGGGGCTCGAGTTTCGAGCCTGGGAGTACTTGGCACATGCCTTCGTCGTATCATTCGACCAAGAACCGAAATCTGCATGCTGGTAGCTGCTAGTAATGCTAATACCTAAGCTGCTAGTGATGCTGATATCTATTCATATGGTCATACTCCTTTTAAACCCTATGTATGGTCAAACCGCACAGTCCTACACCCCGCGCTGCTTGTAATCTTAGGAGCACTTTTTGGAGGCCCAGAATGTCTAGCTGACTTCGGCAGGCTGTCGTTCTGCGGAGCCCAATGCAGCGACAATCGACATGGGCGGCAGTTCTTGGATGCCACCGGATGTAGGAAAGCAGAAGAACGATTGGAAGACAAACGGAAGGAACACAAGGTTGCTTGGCATATGACATAGTGACGCCCGGGTGTACACTATTATGTCCAAGCTGAATATCAAAGACACACACACACACCGGAGAGAACCAAGCATCAAAGACCGTGTACCTTGATCGGAGAATTGCCTGCTGCCCAAACAAAGGACATGGGAATTGAAAACAAAAGAGACCGCCATGCAGGGAATTTAGGATTAGCGGATTGGCCCTTTTTGGGGAATTGCGGTAATTCCGCATTGTTTGTCGCACCCGCATATAACAAATAACACGGCAAACGACCGATGCCATTTCGAAAAATTGCCCAGGTCGACCCCAGTAAAGCACTGATCCGGATTCTACTGCCCTGAAACCGAACCCTTGAGAAACCCCCAAACTGCAAACCAAGGCTTTGCGCAGTGGTTTGAGCGACCACATACACAATACTGAATGTGGGATTGTGGCCCATTCTACTGTAGCTCTTTCTCGAAAAATTAAACAACAAGGATTTTGGGTGAAGGCTGACGAAGCCCTCAGCCCTAAATCATTGAATCATAACCAACTCAACCCTAAATTGCTAAATGACCCTAAACGGCTTAAAGCTTAGCGCATAAGTTAAAGGTATGAAATCAACTCAACCCTACACTGTGATCTAAGGGTAAAAGGAGGGACCCCGAATAAGGACCCCTATAGGTATATGTGGTATATACCCATTGTATAACCATTATAAATATAGCCCGTTATAGGGTAGGGGTCCCCACTAAGTGTCCCTCCTGTTCCCCTTTGATGTGAGGTCTCTTCTTACTTTTGCCGGCTTCTCCTAAAGCCCCCAAACCCAAAACCCTAAGCCGCAAACGGCCCTAAACCCGAAGCCTGTCTGGTTCTGCAAGGAGGTCATCGAAAAGTGTGCCCTCCACATGCTGCCTGGCGCTCTTGGGAGGAGGATTTAACACTTCTGAGTCGGATGAAGGGCTGATACGGCTTAGGAGTTAGGGTTTAGGGTTTAGGGTTTAGGATAATTAGACATGCAAAAATCACGAAGCTGAATATGCAACATTCGTGGAGGTTTGCTTCGGTGTGTACTGTTAGTTGTCACCTGGAACCACGCATGTAATGTCATACTACAACCTGCAAAAGACACTCCATTGAGAAAGATGCTGCAATAGCATTGCTGTTGTTCTTCCTCTTGTGCTGAGCATCTAAGCCCCCAAGTAAATCGCGAAGACACTTATCCCATATTCTGTGTTGACTGAAAACCCAGAGCTAGACCAGAACAGTGTATTCCTGTCGGGGTATTGATACGTATGTTGTGCTTTGATGGTGGCTGGTATGTTTCGGCGAAGCAGTGAAGCCGAGGCTGAGGCTCGAAGAAGGCGTCGTGCTGCAAATCGGCTCCATGTACCTCAGATGTCGAGACCCTCATGTAGGGCCTTTAATGATTAGAACAAGGTTTTGGGCCATTTTATCATAACTATACTAAGGAACTCCCGAAAATAATATAGGTACTTGTAACCTCAAGGCCTAAAGCTCTAAAGCCTCAGCAGGAAGAGTCATAGG